CCTGTGTGCGTGCATGCCCTGCATGCCTATGTGCACACACGTGTGTCCATACACGTTTGCATTGGTGTCGTGTGCACTGCGACTATGTGCTCTACGTGCTTGTGCCTGCGTGTGTACACTGGTGTGCCAGTGGAGGGGAGATGATGCTGACCACCCCGCCCCCTCCTGCCTGGTCTGGCCCCTCCTCCATGGTGGGCAGGGTCGGCACACAGTAGGCGCTTCCTACGTGCTTGGGACCTGGGGGGGGGGATGGAGATTGTGGGCAGAGACCCCTCACGAGGGATGGGTGTCTCCAGAAGGCTCGTCAGAGTCTGCGGGCACCAAAGACCCTTCCCCATCCCCCTCCACATAGAGGCCAGTTTCTGAGGACGGTGCACAGGGCGGGGGTACCTGGGTAGGCAGGTTGCTGGGGCCCATGGCGACCCCAGGAGACCCGAGCTAGGCAAAGGCGCGGAGATGGAAGACGAAGCAGCCCCGGCGTCCCGCCCCAGGGCTTCCGGGCCCTTCTTCCCGGCGCTTGGGCCCGCGCTTCCGGGCGCGCAGCTCGTTACCAGGACGACGGCGCAGGGGCTGCCGGGAAGCCGGAAAGGGAAGACGAGAGGCAGTCGACGGGGGCCGAGAAGGGCCAGATGCTGGGCCGGGTCGGGGGGGGGGAGAGGTCGGCGGCGGGGCGGGGCCTGCTTCGCGCATGAGCAGTGGCTGCGCCGTGTCGCCTGGAGGCCGGAGGGCCTGGGCGGCTCCCGTAGCGACTCGGCCCAGGACTTCCGGCTTCTAGGGCGGCGCTGGGCGGAGCGAAGAGCCCCGGAAGTGGCTGTTGCCCCGCCCTCCACGTGGATGCCCCGCCCCGGCCAAAGAGCGTCCAGGTTCGCCGGCCCGGCATGGCCCGCTACGAGGAGGTGCGCGTGTCGGGCTTCGGCGACTTCTGCGGGGCGGTGGAGCAGCACAGAGACAAGACCATCTTCGTCTACTTCACGGGCAACAAGGACGCCGAGGGCCGCAGCTGGTGCCCGGACTGCGTGCAGGGTGAGCCGGGGGAAACTGAGGCCCGGGGGCGGGGGCGTGGGAACGGAGGCTTAGGGGGAAACCAAGCCTCGGGGAAGGCGAGCGAGCCAGCGCGCCGCGGCTCTGGCCTCGTTCTCCGGCTGGCCAGCGACCTCCCCTCCCTCCCTCCTTCCGTCCCCGAGTAGCCGAGCCTGTGGTCCTGGAGGCCCTCAAGCACATCCCCGAGAACGCCGTGTTCATCTACTGCCAGGTCGGGGACCGGCCCTAGTAAGTGCTCCCGGGGAAGCCTGGGGGGAGGGGGGCCGTCGGGGGTGGTCCGGGCCCCAGCACCCACGGGCCACTTGCTCTTTCCCCCATAGTTGGAAAGATCCCAACAATGATTTCAAGAAGAAGCTAAACCTGACTTCGGTGCCGACCCTGCTCAAGTACGGGACGGTGAGTGCCCTGTGCCCCTTCTGCCGGTCTGGCCGGGGCGCCCACTGCTGTTGAGGCACCCCATGATGCCCCCGTGACGCCCGCCTCTCCCTCCCCAGCTGTTTCCCTGCCCCCCGGCCTGGGTGCGGGTGGAGGGCAGTGCCAAGTCTTAAAGAAGTGCCCTGGGGGGGGAGCCGCCAAGTCAATGATCGACTAGTTACAACCAGTCACCGCCAGAGGCCGGGGGGGGGGGGGGGGGGGGGGGGGGGGGGGAGGCTTAGCTGACTCAGCTTCTCTTCCAGCCTCAGAAGCTGGTGGAGTCAGAATGTCAGAAAGCCAGTCTGGTGGAGATGCTGTTTTCAGAGGAGGATTAAGCAAGAGGCGCCAGCCCCGATATCGCGACTGGAAAGGAACCTCGTGATCAATTGTGTGATAATAACATTAGCCAAAATAATGTTTAGAAAGCCTCTAATGAATGTTCTGCAAATACAGCGCCCTTTGTAAATGATGGAAGGCCTTCCTTGTCCTACTGGTTCCCTTTATTCCTGCCGGTGGTAAACAGAGTCTCAAGGTCTGGACCAAGGCCCCCCCCACCAATCTTTCCCGGGGCTCCTTAGCACCTTTTAGGGCCCCCCCAGACCCAGCAGCCCCAGGCACCGTGCAGGAGCTCTGCGGTCCTTGGACCTCTGCTGGCAAGGCCAACAGGCCCTACTCAGATTAGGCACCCAGGCTCACCCATTGGCTTCTTTTGACCAAGATGTTTACTTTGCTTCAGTCTGGGAATTAGAACAAAGAAACCTTAAGGTGGTTTAGAGAAAGTCACTGAATGGCCCTTACAAGGAGTCCCTGAGGCTCCCCTCCCGCCCTCAGCCCTCACTTTCCCGCTGAGGACGTGCTGCTGTTCTGCTGTGGCAGTGGCTGCTGCTCTGCCAGGGCCTGCTGTAGCCGCATCCGCTTTCTCGAGTAGTGCTGCCAGTGCAGGATCTGCTGCTCATCGATAAACTTGGCGCACTGGGCGTTCACCAGCTCCTTTCGGAAATGCTCATACTGCAGCAACTCCAACATGTGCAGGCACTGAGGGTACCTGGGGAGGGACGGTCCCGAATTCAAGTCCAGATGAAGCCGGGCCAGGCCTCAAGTCCAGTAATGGGGGGCGGTGGGGGTCATAGACCTCCTTCCTCTGCCCTAGATCTGTTTACTTTCCTCTGTGGGGCAGTTATGGGCTTCTTGTCCCCAGGTCGTTTCACAACAGTGGGCTAGAAACCATCCAAATGTAGGTGTGCCATGGGGAGGGGGAGGGTATAGGGACAATCCTGACATCGGGGAACTTTTGTTCCACAAGGGGTGAGGGAAAAGCGGGGAGCCCCCTTGGAGGAGCTGGTGTCCACACTGACCCTGGGCTGGAAACCAGGAGACAAAGAGGAGTATTCTTTGTAAGGGGTTGGGTGACCCTAAATTTGTACTTTTATGACAAGGGAAGGGAAAAGAAGTTTCCTTAAGCACCTACTCTATGCTAGCCGCTATGCTAAGTACTTTACAATTATTACCTCATTTGCTCCTAACAGCCCTGGAAGGGAAGGGGTATTATCCCCTTTATACAGCAGAATAAACGGAAGGGCATTGGGGAAGTGACTTGCCCAGGTTCACTCTGCTAGGAAGCAGGTCTTCCTGACTCCAGCAGCTGCCTAGCTGAGGCACTCTGCCAACCTCCCACTTGCCAGTCAGGTGTGATTCTTCTAAGGAAAAACAGCTTCCAAATTCCAATTTGCCAATGAGACTTACTTCAAGTACTTGGCGTAGTCTGGCTCTTTCCAGTAAAGCAGGTATTTCAGATAATTGACAAAGGCCTTGTCCTTGAAGTACCCTCTTTGGGCAAGGACTGGAAGACAAGGAAAGAAGTCACTCTCGGGCCCACCTGCCCACCCACAGGACACCTACTGGAGAATCCCTCCAAGGGGCTGAGGTTTCCCCCAGCTGGGCATGCCCGGCCCCTTTCCACTAGGCCAAATCACCACCTTTAGTGAAAAGGGTGGCAGGAGCAACACAGACAGAAATGGATGGACGGAAAGAGATACGGATGTGAGCAGAAACAGGTAACTGGAGAGAAAGGCTAGACAAAGCTCATTTACTAGACTCCGAAGCTCGGGGTGGAGGAAGAGCTTACTAGGTGGTCAGGCACGGGTCTAGGCCTTGGGTGAAGAGCCACATGGGGCATTTTGGCATCTCCGAAGAGTTGGCATCTTGGCGCTAAATATGACCTAAGACGCCTAGTGCATTGGGGCAGCCTCCGAGAACCCCAGTAGCCCCACTATTAACACAAAGTCTCGAAATCATTCTCTGGCAGCAGACTCAGTTTCCCCTCCCACCTAGCCCAGGGGCCCTAAGCCTTGTTCTTGACTCAGTAAAGACCCCGCCCTCGCCCGCCCCAGCTTCCCCGGCTGCCTCCAGCGCACACTGCCCAGGACCCGGTGCTCGCCACCCCACCGGCAGCGCGGCCTCGGAGACTCACAGTTCAGGTAGTTGGGGTTGGCCAAGCACTGCACGAACTCCAGCTCCAGCTGAAAGCGCAGCCGGTTCCCGGCGTCGTCTGCGGAAGAGAGAAGAGCTCGGAGCCGCGCGAGATCCCGCCCCCGCCCCGGCCAAGCCTCGCAGTCTCCCCGCCGCGAAATGACCAGCACCCGGGAGCTCACTCCCGCCCAGCCCCGAACGGGCCGGGAGCTTGCACTCACCTGAGGTCTCCATGACGACGGCGGCGGCCATGAGCGAGCCCCCGCCCCGCCCCGCTCCCGCAGCAGCGCCGGCGACCGCGGGCCCTGATTACCCTGCCTCCGCGTCCTGCCCCCCGCGCCGCGGCGCCTTGTGGGAGAAGGGGGGGGAGAGGAGAGGAGAGGAGAGGAGGGGCGGGGGAGGCTCCGCGGGCGGTGCTTCTGAGAGAGGAACGCAGCTGCCCGGGTGGGGCGCGGGAGATCTGCCGGAGGCGCGGAGCGGAGACCGCCCTCCCTCGGGATCACTGCACCCCGCCCTGCTCCGCCCCCCTGCGCTCCGGGTCGTGCGGGAGGTGGGTGCCTTCTAAGTGCCCACCGCCGGGCAGCTCGAGGCACAAGCCGGCCTGCTGCAGACCTGAAACTGACTAGTCCGGGAGACTGAGTAGCGGTTGCTACCCGGGCGGGGCGCGGGGGAGACACTGAAACTGACATTGTCTAGGTCAGGAGACGTCCCCAGGTGGAATGGATACAAAGTAACTGCAGCAGTGGCGTGGGGAGGCGGGAAGCAACCCTGAAACTAACATGGTCTATGCTAGGAGATAGATACAAAGTAACTACAAGGGGGCAGGTCGCAAAAACTAATCCCTGGGGTGGGCGTGAGGGCTCCACTGTTACTTTACTGTTACTCCTGGAAAAAACGCTCTGGAGGAAAACCAAAGGAGTAATCCCTGACTGATCCTACTGTGAAGCCTCCTGGGCTCTCTGGGTGTCTTGCCTTACTGATTCTTTAAGAGACCTCCACCTGCCTATTGGCCATCTCCTACAGGATGTCTTGTAGACTTCTTAAACTCAACATGTCCCAAACTGAACTCCCCTCTTCCTTCACTTTCCTATCAATGCAGAAGGCTCTCCTCCCCCCCCTCCCCTCCTCCTCTCCTCCTCACCTTTCCTCCCCTCTCCTCTGAGGGTCTTTGCCTCCCAGTTTGAGTTTTTTTTTAAGTGACCATCCCTTGCATCACTCCTTAAAGAGGCCAATTCGCTAAATGGGCTTTGCCACATTGAATGTGAGAACTTAAAAAGACCTTAGCTTAAAAGGACCAAAATCTCCCATTGCATCCTGGGCCATCTCCATTCATCCTGATGATATCTGACCACTGGACCCAGATGGCTCTGGAGGAGAAAGTGAGGCTTGTGACCTTGCACGGCCTTCCCTCACTCAAATCAAAGTCATGAATGTTGTCTTTGTCTTTAAACATAGACCTGATAATTTATCTGTAACCACTGTCCCAAAGCCCGTTGCTGTGGGACTCTCTCCATATTGGTGGAGATGAAGGCCCTGAGGGGCAGGTGGAGTTGTTGGGAGGGGAGAACTTGGATTCTCCTTTGGTCCTACTTTGGGAACTCTTCACCCTACTAGTGGCAGGTTCCCTTCAGGGCCTCTTCAAGCAGAATCTCTTTCCACTTTCGTCTTTGAGAGAAAAGCTGCACGAGGCCAAGCCCCCAGCAGGAGGCCAAAGGAGGAGCTTCCAGGGAGGCTTGAGAGGAGCTGGCCTCTCCATCCTGGCTGGCCCTGCTCCTAACTTTCTACTCTGAGGACTTTGGGGACCAAAAAAGAATTGAGATGATATTCCTGGGAAGGGGAAGGACTCGATAACCACTAAGCCCCCTGGTCTTTGGCAGACAGGATCTTGTCTATTTCACCTTGTAGCTGGGACACTGATTTGAGAACTCCAGCTCAGTGCTTTAGAGCAGTCACTCAGGGCCTTCATCCAAAGTCACTTACAACAGTGTTAACCTCAGTTAACAGTGGGGGACACTGACTCTGTGCTCAGCTCTCCTGACTCTTCTGTCCCAGAGCCCTGTGCAGTGGTTTTCACAGACTCTCAGACCCTCAGAGAGAACAAGGACCCTCTAGCTAAAGCAGGGCTTGAACAGGCCTCCCTATGGCTGAACTGGCCCCCCAGCAGGACACATTGTGGGACTTCCTGTGACCAGAGGAGGCAGCCCCTACTCTGCCTAGAAATAAGGGTCCAGGAAAATTGTCAAACGTTCATAACTGAGGTGGGGAGGGGGCAAAGCCCAGGGCACTCCAGGCCTGTGCAGTGCCCTCTGCCCACCTCCAGGCTTTTACATATTCTGAACAGAGCACTGAGCCTGAACAGCATGCCAAATCAAGAGACTCCTGAGCACGGGGAGTGGGAGGAGCCAGAGGAATAGCCCTCCTAGAGGATCAGGAAAACCCAAGGTGGGGACAAGTCTCTCCCTATTCCAGTCAGTCCTATAATGTGCTACCAAAGTAATATCCTTAAACACAGATCTAGCCATGTGACTTCCCTACTCAACAATCCCAACAATTCCGTGTGGCTTCTAGGTTCAAATATAAAATTCCTATTAACGGGGCTATGCTGAAGCCAGCTACAACTGTTCAGTTGCTTGGGGGAGCTAATTGTTCAGTTTTCAGTGGGAGCATTTACGCCTTGGAAGACAATAAACCCTATAAATCAAAGTTGGATGTATTGTTTTGCTGATTTTCTAGACTTAAGAAAGTGATGGAAAAGAATGTTAATTATAGGGGCAGCTAGGTGGCACGGTGGATAGAGCACCGGCCCTGAAGTCAGGAGGACCTGAGTTCAAATCTGCCCTCAGACCAAACACTTGACACTTACTAGCTGTGTGACCTCGGGCAAGTCACTTAACCCCGATTGCCTCACCCAAAAAAAAAAAGAATGTTAATTATAGAAATTAAACTATATCGGGGCAGCTAGGTGGCGCAGTGGATAGAGCACCAGCCCTGAAGTCAGGAGGACCTGAGTTCACATCCAACCTCAGACCAAACACTTGACACTTACTAGCTGTGTGACCCTGGGGAAGTCACTTAACTCCAATTGCCTAAAAAAAAAAAAGAAAAAGAAAAAAAAGAAATTAAACTATAAGGTGTGTCATTTTCCCCTGGTTGTTAAACATTTACCTGTACCCCACTACCTATTTAGCCTTTAAAGCTCTTCATAGCTGGCCCCAATCTGTCCTTCCAGACTCATTTTGCATTTGTTACTCTCCCTCCTGCACTCAGTCATCCAGCCCAACTGGTCTCTGTGCCCCTCCCACACAGCATTCCTTCTTTCCTTCGTCCCTCCCTCCCTCCCTCCCTCCCTTCCTCCTTCCCCTTCCTTCCTCCCTCCCTCCCCTCCCCTCCCCTCTTTCCTTCCTTCCTTCCTTCCTTCCTCCATTCTATCACTTACTCGCCTATCCGTGCATTCAACAAATACTTCAGGAATGCTTGTTGTGTGCTTATAGCTTGTGTGAGGCCCTGGGGGTGATATAAAATGACGATGGCAAGGTCTCTGTCCTCATAGAGCTTACACTCTAGTACAGGGGAGGAAACATGACATGTTCATTCCAAAGTCTGTGCAAGGGAAACACCCCCTCTGGCTGGAGGAAATCCAGCCTATCTTGGTAGGGTGGGCCACCTTTGGATTGGCTTGGAACAGTGGCTTCTCCCATATTGTGTGGGCAGAGCTGAGAGACGGGGCTAGGGGAGGGCATCTAAGTGGAAGAATGAACGAGACATCATGGGAAGTCCTGCCCCCCAAGATTCCAGTCAAAGTCCAGGCTTTATCCCTTGCTGGTCATGTCACCTGAGCTTGTCACTTCCTCTGACTCAAATGGTAACAGAAAAACATGCATTAGGTAATATATCCTCCTCCCCCTGCAGGGTTGTTCTGCATAGTTCTCTAGAGACAGGAGCTCTTCAGAAAGCACTGAATGGGGTAGGGGTGGGCTATACAGAAATCCAGTTTAGCACATCCAGGGAAGCTGGAATAAATAAGGCTGGAAAGAAGGCTTGGAGGCAAGGCATCAGGGATCCCAAATGTGAGTCATTGTTCCTTAGTGTACTCGGGGACCAAACTGGATTTCCCTTGTGGAGCAGTTTCTCTTTGGGTTCAAAATGGTGACGGTGCAGAGGGAGGCCAATCATCCCTAACAGCCCAGGAACCAGAGCTCACAAGCCAGGGACAGGATGTGCCAAGCTCACTGTGCTCCTTAGGGAGGGAGGCCAAGGCCAAGGATCCCACCAGTGTGGAAGGCAGGTGGACTTTCCTGTGGCCTGGCCTAAAGTTCTTCCTGGAACAAACAGCAGTTCTGTATGCAGAGGGTTCAAGGTCATCTACATCCCAGAGGACAAGGCAAAAGGGCTGGCCTTCCTATGCTCCAGGTCATCGAGATGCACAGAGGCCAGGAGAATCCAGACCCATGTCAGGAGCCTGGGGGGGTCAAAGGATACGACAGAGGGGGAAGGGAAGGAGGAGAAGCACACCTGCTGGAGCTATGGATCAAGGTTCTTTGACTGGATCATCCCTGAGCAAAGCAGCTTCTTGTGTGCCGAGGGATGAAGGTGGGCAGGAAAGGCCCAAATCTCTCTAAAGCACAGCTTTGACCGCCTGCCTCTCTCCCTCAAAGACTCTTCATGACTCCAATGGCTCTCAGATCAAGTGTGGATGTCCCAGTCTGGTGGGCGGAGGCCTCCACAGTCTGACTTCAGTCTGCCTTGCCAGCCTCATTTGGTCTCTTCACATACTCTCCAAGCCAGCCAGACTGGCCTGTGTGCTGCTTGCAGGGATGCCCCACAGCAGCCCCTCCAAAGCGCTCAGCATCCTCAGAAATCGGGGTTGTGGTTCACTGCTTCTCTAGGGAGCTTACTGTGCTCCACTATTCACTGAACAGCTCTCATGGTGAGGAATCAAGCCTAAATCTGCCCCTCACCTTCCCTCTCCTGGCCCTAGGACTGCCCCAGAGCCGGGCAGAACCAGCCTGAGCCTTTCTCGCTGTGGCTATCGATTCCTCGAATGGCAGCAACCAGAAGCGTGCCCTTCGTTAAGGCTAAAAATGGACAGTAGGGGGCAGCAGGTGCTCAAGCAGATGTCTCACCGGTCAGTGAGAGAAGGTCTGGGAGAGGCCACGGGGGCAGGATACATCTGGGCAGGTGCTTCAGCAATCTCAGTCTTCAGCTTGGATCGTGCATGGACAGCTGGGAGGAACCTTAAGTGTGCTCTGGTCCAACTCTTCTTTTTAGAGACGGGGAAACTGAGGTCCACATAAAGGAAATGACTTGCC